AGCCATGAAAATAAAATACTTCTATGAAAGAGATGTAGATGTAGCTAAGCTTGTGGTTCCAATAAAGATAAAACAAAGGGGAAAAAAGCGTCTTTTGCTGTAACATTAATATTTCATCAGTGCCCGACAAAACAAGACGTTGCTGAAAGCGTTGACTCGAGTCTGCTTGAGGAGTATATAAGGAATAAGAACGAATTTTTTTTTTTTTTAGCATGAGTTTAGGCCTAATTAAACTTTGAGAAACAAGGAAGTCGGCATGATGTCGTCCCCAGTTTCAAAGGTCTACACAAGGAACGCCTTGGACCATGAGACAATTAAGGACTCTTTTTTCCTCAACTTCTTCAACAAATGTTTGTTTTACAACAGAACAAATGTCAGTTTGCGTTTTTCAGGCAAGCGGCGGTAAGCGTGAAGCGAGCGTGGTGGGATATAAGCGAGTGAAAGGAAGAGCGCCAAACAATAACAATATTAAATGAAGGAGGTGCACAACTTAACACTGACTCGTTCTTCCAATCAACAACACGCTCTAACTAATCTGCCGACGTCAAACTAGACCCTGTTCATTCATTTACCAATGTTTTATAGGACTTGTTAAATAACGAAACGATTTCCAATTCGTGGTTGAAACGGCGAAGTCAAATGAAGAAATAAATACAGTGCGCAAATTAAAGATAAATAAACATTTTGATCCACCCTAAATTTTTTTCCAAGCTAGTAACAATCACAGATTTGTAAAGTGCGTCCGATCTAGCTTCGTAATGAGTGTTTCTGTCTTAGCTTGACAAAATCCAGTGTATAATTAACCTATAATCATAGAATGGTTCGTGACGCGGCTCATAATAACTAATTTTGTTCGATCAAAGGTCATAACAGGCACGAAAAAGTCGACGACTGCATAAGAAACTTCAATTTATGCAAATTCCTTGAATGTTTATGAACTTTTTGCACACATAGCCTGACACTTGACAGCGTTTTACGAACCTGATGCGATCTTTATCTAATATTAGAAGGCCGGATAATTGACTACAATGGCATCAAATGAACCATGTATTTTGTTCCGTTGGACTAAAAGTTTCCTTAAATTTCGCCTATATTTGCGAACAATCTTAAAAGCTAAGCTTCCAGCTATTGTTCATGACCGATGTCAGCCATTACTGTCAGGATCGAAAATAAAGCTTTTAAACAACGTTTTTATGAAAACATCGCGAAATTGAATCGGCGAACTTCCGGATTTTGGCAATTTTTTTAGCAACTTTTTTTTATAATGAGCAACTTTCCAGTATTCTACGAGCACAATCGGGACAGGCCTACACAAAAAAAAATGAAATAAAGGTTCGGCATCACAATTTCTGTCACAACAACAGAAGCGGAATGCTGAATACTACAACCGCTCACCGACAAATCCAGACGTAAACTACAATCCACCGAGGACTTCATTAACGCCTCTTTTCACATTTGATATGAAATCGCTTTTTACAAGTATTCCACTTCAACTGACACTACAATGTACTGAGACTGCAATCGGACAATCTACCGACCCTCTACCGCTACCGACAGAGGAGATTATGGACTTACTAAACCTTTCCCTTGCGTCAACTTATTTTAGTACAGCGATAAACACTACAAACGGTACAGCTATGGGGTCTCCAGTTTCTGTTGTTGTGGCAGAAAGCGGAAAGTGCCCCTTCGACTTGCCGACAAACGGTACCGCTTTGGTTACGCTACGTTGACGATACATTCACCGCCGTACAACACGACAAAGTCGACGCAAGGGTAAACTACCTTTTCTAGACTGCCTGTTAAGACGTGACGACAACTCACTACGGACAACAGTTTACAGGAAACCGACACATACCGACAGGTTATTGGACGAGTCATTCTGCAACCCGACATCACACAAAGCCACAACTATCAAGACTCTCACGCGACGAGCGTGACTAGTATGCAACACGACAGACAGCTTATTCGACGAAAACAAGTACCTTGACTGCGTTTTTCCAAAGAACAACTATAACGAAGACTTCATCCGACGAAACACGCACCGACTTACCACTACTACCGAAGCTAACGACAACGCAACTCCCACGACTACAGCAACCATACCGTACATTAAGGGCATATCTGAGAAAATCTCGCGCATCCTACAACCATTCAATATCCCCGTCGCTTACACAACCCATTACCACACTTCGTCAGTTACTGACTAACGTTAAAGACCAAGACGAACTGAGGAACAGACAAGGAGCAGTTTATAAGATCACTATTGCTCCGACTGCCACGCCTCCTACATCGGTGAGACTGGCAGAAACCTCACAACTGGACTGACTGAACACAAACAAGCGACGAGGAAAGGCGATGTCAACAATCACATTGCTGAACATCACCGACTTGCAAACCACACTATTGACTGGGACTCGGCGCAATGCCTAACCTACAGCACCAACTACTTTCAACGACTGACCCTGAAAAGCTGTTTACTAACTTGGAACCGACTCCCCTCAACAGGTGTTAACCACTACCAGCACCATACAAACGACTTATCCACGACATTAACATTACAAACGAACCGAACAGAACGACCTAACTTTACTAACGGATC